AGTATTGTTGTAGTTGAGATGTAAATTATTAACATCCTCAGGTAGAGCAGGTAATATTTGGAAATAGATATCTAGTATTTGTATCATGGGGTTAATGAATGTAGGGAGTTCTATACTCAATTCTGCTCAGGGTTTGTTTAGTCTGCACTTGTTTTATACACTACTACGTTTCTTGCTCTAACACTGTCCTCTTCTCAATAACAACTTCTCACGACCTTCTCTACACAAGGTACTAAGTCACTATTACTAGGCACAGGTTATTCTTTAAGAAATCGAAGCTTGGGTTTGATCTGCAAGATCGAACCTCTATTTATTTAATTCCATTGTTTACATTTGATCACGTTCTATGATTAGTAATATGATTATAATGCGTGATAGTCGTTGAATCCCGGCACTACGAAATATAGGGGTATCGTATAATATCACCACATGAGCTAGATCCCCTAGTACTTCGTCCCCGAAGTTACTACCATTAATACATTGTTTTCTACTATATCCTCAAAACATAACAGTAACAACTACATTCTCTATCTAAAGTTCATCTTCCATCTACCTCTATCTCCTAAATTATTACATACAAAAACTCTACAACAAAATTCAATCTCCTTCACAACATCATACCACAACATCCATTCAATCCTTACCACTATCATTACATATTTTTCATATACAACACTAATGTTCAAATTCCCTTCCATTACTACCTTAGCATTACGATCAACACTACATTGACATATATCTACGAGTTTATACACAGCAAACATCTTTTCGATCAACATTCCATAACTATCAGCTTTAATCTATTGCTCTAAATTAGATAACTTTACAAGACGATCATTACAATTATTTATCTTCATCATATCATTTCTCATTTCTGGGCTTCGTTTATTCATTGATTCTTTCTTTGATATACTGATCTTATTTTTACCATCATCAGATCTTTTACCACTCACTGCTCCAATTTGATCTTCATAACGATAATCTATACAACGTTCTCTACCAATATCTTGATCTACACTCTTATCGTCATTCTCTACATTCTTTGCAAACCAGTTGCCCTTTTCATTTTACCTTTCAACATCGATTCCACATTGATAACACCATCTAAGACCATCTCATCCATCAGGACTTTTCACTTCAGCAGGTTTCAAATTCCACACAAATACCCTTTTATCTATTGTCATACTTATTTCATATCGATGATTTTCATTTTTTAAATACTATTCGAATGCTATATGATCACCTTCAGCAGATTTTTGAAGATAAATGAATGCCATATATTCATTCATTTCAACTCCTATTTCATTTTGATAACAGTATCTGACAATATATGATTCTTCATCATTGTCTAATTCAGCAGATTTTTGATAATTAATAAACATCTTATGTTCATCATTTTTATTTTCATTATTATCACCCAGCCCTGTTGATTTCATATATCATTCAAAAGCCATACTTTTATCTTGGTCAACTTCTGCTTCGTTATAACAGTCTATTGTATTATCCTTATCTACATTATCACCATCATCATCATCTTTTACACCACATTCAAATATTACAAGCTCATTCCTTTCAACTCTAATCCTATTTTGATTGCTTCGTCCAAGATTGTTGATTTCATTAGAAATTCCTGTTTCATCAGATTTTTGGTAACATATGGATGCTTTACGTTCATCTTTTTCAATATCAACACTAACTTTACAAGATTTCGCCTCATCCGATTCATCAATTTTAACATCAATTCCATTTCGATGATAATCACTAATGATTTTACAAACATCATTATACATTTCCATGTCCGCTGATTCTTGATAATGAATTAATGCCTTTTTTTCATCTTTTTCGACACCATTATTAGGATCGTCATTCATTGTTTTATTGTTTGTCACCAGGAAGTCCTCGATTTCATTCATTTTTGATTTGCTTAATTCATTACTATCTCTATTACTAACTACATTCTTTTCTTCCTTCTTCACATCTTTCATTTATGCTTCCACTATCAATGCCAATTGTTTAGCTTGATCGTAGGTCTCAGGTAAAAGAGATTTAACCTCATAAAGGTATTGTCGTTTTAAGCCAAGGGTGTACCAAATCCTTTTCTCTTCTTCTGGAAGTTCACTATTCCACAACATCACACGACTATCATAACGTTTAGTAAATTCCTCTACACTTTCTTTGTCACCTTGTTTAATCCCTAATATCTGCATAATTCGATCGACTATGTCTTCGTCATCATAATAAATCATTTCCATTTTCAACACTAATTCTGACTTTACTAACAGCTGACTCAATTGGTTTGACAGAAGTTACTGCTTGCCCAACTTGGTTCTGCGAAAGTTACTGCCTTGCCCAGGTCCTTCTCTGTCGTGGGGTTAATGAATGTATACAGTTATACACTCAATTCTGCTCAGCGTTCGTTTAGTCTGCACTTGCTTTATATACTGCTACGTTTCTTGCTCTAACACTATCCTCTTCACAATAACAACTTCTCACAACCTTCTCTACACAAGGTACTAAGTCACTATTACTAGGCACAGGTTATTCCTTAAAAAATCGAAGCTTGGGTTCGATCTGCAAGATCGAACCTCTATTTATTTAATTCTATTGTTTACATCTGATCACGTTCTACGATCAGTAACATGATCATGATGCGTGACATTTGTTGAACCCCAGCACTACGAAATACAGGGATATCGTATAATATCACTACAATTTGTATGAATTACAATCCAGAATAGAACTTTGGTTGGGATATAAAATTAGTCACATTACAATTTAAAAAGTTATATACCAACCTAGATATGTACATAAAAAGATATTTTATATATACTGTATCCATATATATTTTTCTATTTTATAAATTTATATCCAGTTTTTTATATTTCTTGTTAAGATTTATTGGTTAACAAGAATAATCTTTTTCATAAGTTTTCGCTCAAACTAAACACACTAATATGTATTCAAATGAAAATTTAATAACGTTGAATGTGTCGATATTATAATGATAAAATTATCTGTATAACAAGTATGATACAATATTATATACATGTAAAATATATATACTGATCATACAAAATCAATAACTTAATCGAATTGGCCAAAAATCATTTGACAAATTTCATCAGGTGTTCTAGGAATTATGATAATAGCTGTAACTGAAAGTATTTCAGTTAGTTTAGTTGATTCAGATCAACCGCATTAGCCAAATCGACCAGGTAAATGAAGTGAATTGGGTAAACTGAGTTATTCAGATTAACTGAATTAGCTAAATTACGGCTGTTTTTATATATACTAGAAAATTTAGTAAAAATTGACCAACTGAATATTTGCTGATTCAATAAGTTTTGATAAACTTTTGATTCAGATATGTTTATATCTGAATCAAAAGTTTATCACTGCTCAAAAGCTTATTGAATCAGCAAATATTTGGTTGATCAATTTTTACCAAATTTTTCAAAATTTATAAAAACAGCTATAATTGCATTACCATGCATATTGTGAAAGTGTGAATTCAATTCACTATGTCTTTGCAACCAAAATGTGATTAAAGCATAGAATGCAGTAAAGGTTGCTTGAAATGGGCGTAAAAGATTTGATTAGAAAACTAGAGATCCTATTGCTACTAGAATTTCCGGGTTTGGTTAGTTGATTCTTATTAATAATTAATATAATTTTTTTCCTTCTAATTACATAAAAGCAAAAGGTTTTATACAATTAGAGATGCTATATTATTGTTCTCTATAGGAGCTTCACCTCGAGCCAAACCCAAAGTAGTATTTATTAAATATTATTTTTACATGTTGGTCATTGTGTTAAAAGTTTTGATTTATATAGCTTTGGGTCATATTTTTATATACCACATTTTAGATCACATTATCTATTACAACATATATATATACGTATATGATTTTGATGATGATACTAGGTGGCTAATTATGCAGTGTTATTATATGTACGTACTAGGTTAACTAGTTAACCAATTATACTAGGTTAATCGATTATGCTGGGTCAAGTATATCAACTGATTATTATAGGTCAACCGCATTTTGCTCAACTGGTTAACCCAAATTTATTTGGTTCATTATAGTTACTGTATAGGTATATAGTGAATAATCTAGTTATACACATGTTCATATCTGTAGCCTTTGGCCACAGATATAAACCTGTGTGTATAACTGGGTTATTCAATATATCTATACAATAACTATCTTATTGCATGGTGTCTGATGTAACAATCCTGTGCAATAACTAAATGAAAAAAAAACACAGGTTGTCACATAAGACCTGTATAATAAAGATCAGTTACTCAATTGAGGCTACTCTAGTCAAATTTGCAAATCGTTTGGCCAAACCCAGAACTTTTCTATTCTAAATTTGGTTAAGTGATTTGCAAATTTGACTAGAGTTATAAGTAATCAGTTTTACTATTTATATTACAATTAATTTTTAATATCTGTTTAAACATGATTAATGCGATTTAATAATTCACTATGATGCTGCTTCATATAAAAACTTGAGATGCTGAATATTATGTAAAAATTCAAACCAGAAATTGCAGATTACATATCGATTATAAAAAGCCTCTTTGTCAAAAATTACTGATTTCTCAAAAATCTTTATAAGAAACAATACTTTGTGCGCTAAAAAAAGTTTTTTAATAATTTTTCTGTATAACCTTCTAAACTCTAATATTAATATAGATAATACCCCATCTCAAACAAGCATGCCATTACCGAAAACACCAAAGAATTTGTAGACATTAACATCAAAGACTGGTCCAAACTTACATTCATTATTACCTTTCATATCCAAAAATTTGCAAACAAATTTCTCTTTACTGCAGAATTCTCTTGGTCTGAAAATATATCAAATATGGTTAAATTTCCTACACAATAGATATGCAAACACAATAACACAACCAAATCAATTTTATTTGACCTTACAAGTACCAAATGCAGCTCTGTAAATATCAATGCCAAACTGCCTAGAGCTATACGTAATTGTGACATGGATATAACTATCAAAGCATACGAGCAAACACAAAAGTCATATCATATGCCAAAATACCCAAAAGATATAGCACACATCCCTTACAACCTAATTCCAGATATTGATACAGATGAGGATACCAACTAAAACAATTCTGTTAGTATTACGAAGATGATATCGAATAACAATAAAGGCAAAACTAGTACTCATTTACTTAAAGGCTATATAACTGGCAGTATATCAACTACATCTACTAGATTATACAAAATAGACAAAAGGTTAGCAGCCCAAGTCAATATTTTCAGGCATAATACTACCTACCAGAATACTCGTGCATCTGCCCAATTCAATAAGAACTCTAGTATTAAAAAATAGCCTAGACTCACACCAATCAATACCACTAATACAAACATGCAGGTACCAGAATCTCTATCAACTATATCATCTACACATACAGCTACTACTATATATTTCACTGAAACAACCATCCTATAGCCAAGCCATATGAAAAAACCTTGATCTACCTACCTTTGAGGTACCTGATAGTACTGCATAGGTATAGCAGGTTGCAAGCAAAATTGTACAAAGTACAAAACAACAATTTGATCTAAATAACTAGACATATGATGCTATAGCTACTTCACTTCAAACCCCAGATGGTATACACTAATTGGTGCAGCATAAAATCAGCTCTACTCATACTCAATTTGAAATACCCTCAGCAATTTATTTAAAGTTTAAACATCTAGACACAAGATTCTTTACTACATTTTCTAGAAACCCCAAAACTATGCCA